TTTCGACTTCAGGGACGTGATAGCAGACTTCCGTTTTAGCTTGTCCTTTGATTGTTTGATAGCCGCCACTTCTGTTCCTTCCGAGTCATCATCGCTGTCGCTATATGGAACATGTGAGATTTTAGTTTATATATGTACAGAAAAATACACTTTCAATTGTCCTTAAAAAGTCCACCCTAATATACATACATATGTATAATAATTAAGTTAAATATAATTACTTACTTAACAGTGGGCATCTGATCGAACATTTCCTCGTATTCATTGTCTACAGGTGTTGCACTAATGCTCTTGATTTGCCTCACGTTACTAACGACTTCTAGCTCTGCATCACCCTCAGGCTGTTCAATTATCTTTCGCTCACTTTCCAGCTGTCGAATAATAATCTTGGTGGCCTTCGATTTAACGTAACATTGGTAGAGCAGCACTGTAGATTCAGCGTCATGGATGCGAACATATCGGTCTAGGCTAGCAGAGCTTAGGTAACTCCCAGTGGTATCTAGATGAAGATCACTGATCCCACCGGTGAATCCCTTGTAAGTGTGCACATGCGTATTCATACGTCGAGTGTCAAAGGCTTTTAAAGCACCCATTGAGGTCCCAGTGTAAATAAAATTTCCCCGCGCCACTAAAGCTGTAAAACTCATTCCGTGCTCGCCGCTGGCAAAACATGCGATCGGACGACGCTGCTTGCGCGTATCGTAAAGTCGGACGTAGCCGGTTCTCGAGCAGGTGGCCAGCACACTGGGCCCATCCACAAATCCCACGTCGCAGTCCCAGACAGGCACCTCCAGCTGGAGATAGTCGTTGGGCAGGTTCTTAGAGCTAAAGATCTGCTTGCCGTCGGAGCTCAGATCGTATACCTTTAAATTGTTTTGGCGCTCCTTTCCGCCAGTGGCCACAATGCTCCTGACCTGCGCGCACTGACGCAAATTGTCCATTTGGTTGCCCGTGGCAATAACCACGGGCTCAGATTTCTTTTCCGCCTGCAGTTCAAGGCTCTGTATCTGTCCGTTGCCAATGCCGGCAATTAGTTTGTCATTGTACCGTGCCAGTCCAACGATCGGAGCGGCGTTAAAGAATACTGTCTTTTTGGAGCGCCTCCCATCTGAAAAGGAGTGCAGCTCCACTTCGGTCTTAGCTCGGCCGAGAAGGATATCCGTCTGGTCCTCGTTGCCAAAGGCCAGCGACGTGACGCGAGAGTCCTTGCCCAGGGCTCCAATATCGCTCAAGTTGCTTTGTCCATGTGGAGACTTTTCTGAAGCAGGCACCAAATCTATAAAGATGACAACAATTACTGCAATGCTATTCGTCGCAAACAGACTTACATTTAAAGGAGCCTGTGTGTGTTCCGACATACAGTTCGTGCTTTTCAGTGTAGTTTGCGTGCTTGATATTTGCCGTAGTCCACTTCATCGTAACACACTGTTCTGCCCGGAATATAAGTTTCCAATAATAAGTGCGGAGCGAATATAAAATAATTTTACATTACACGTGCAGCGCGAAAAGTGTGACCAGGCCGAAAACACCAAAATATTCCAAAAGAGTAATATCTACTGCACACAGCCGCTAAAAATTGCAACAGCGCTGTTCTCGTTCACATAGAGAATCGCTGAAGCTATTTTCTATTATTTTCCCATTAATTGGCCGGTCGTTCCAATGGCAGTTATGTGATACAGTCTTACGATTTTTGAAAAATTGTATTTGATATTCTGAAACATAAAACAAAATGGTACTCCCAAGAGTAGGAGGTAATATAATAAACAAGAAGGGAAGCTAACTTCAATGTTCTTATGCCCTTGCTGGTCGTTCCCGTGGCAGCATTATAAGTGCAGAACTTTCCGATACTTAGAAAACTAAAAACTAATTATACAAATTTTAAAATAATGTTCCATTTCAATTGACTACCTTGTATGCTTACCGAAAACGAAATATAACGGTCTATGTATTATTTTCACAATAATTATCCAATCATTCCTATGGCAGCTATATGATTAATATTTGATTTAAATTTTATTCGAAATTCTGAAATACCAAAAGATTAATATTCCCATGAGTGGGAGCTATAGGATATAGTTGTCCGATCCGGCTCGTTCCGACTTATATACTACCTTCAATAGAATTAAGACTTTTGGGCAGGTTTCGTCACGAAAGAATCGGACAGACTTGGCTAGTGCGACTCGTCTAGTGATGCTGATCAAGAATATATACTTAAAGGGATCGGAAAATGACTGAAATCAATACACCCTCTGGTAAATAAATGTTTTCATTATTTTTTCGATTATTCCTATGGTAGCTATAGGTAATAGTTGTCGGATCCTACTGGATCCGACTTATATACTGCCTGCAATAGAAATACGACTCTTGGTAAGTTTTCATTCCGATAGCTTTAAAACTGAGAGACTAGTTTTCGAACAAACGGACAAACGGACATGGCTACATCTACTGGTCTAGAGATGCTGATCAAGAATATGTTCTTCTCATTTACTGCGTTGCAATATTTTTGACTGATTAAACCATCTGCAAGGGTATATAAATAGTGAAATACTGAACTGATTGGCCGCGTTCAGAAGAATAACATGATCACTGATCACTGTTGGATCATTAATCAGTGATCAGGTTAGTTTTGCTGAATGCTCATGATACATTACGACGGCAAAAAGATGATATTTCAAAAACTGCACCAGAAAATTTTAAATGTTTTTATATTGGTCATAAGTTTTTTAACAATCACTTTTGAAAAAATGGTTTTTACTAAATATACATTTGAAAAAGCAAATTCTTTTGCCACCGCATCTGCAGCTTTGCACACAAAAACTGTGAATTTTTTTAAACTCAAAAAGCCTAAACAATTGTAAAGAATTTAAATTAATTCACGTTTTTTTATAATTCTGTTGATTTTTATTGATATTTTACTCATCGATACACGCTAGCAGTAATGTATCTTGCATTAAGAAAAGGTAGAGTACTATTTGTACGCTCCTTTTTTTCTAATCATGATGCAACAATTTTTGCATTTACTTATTTGACTCATCGATACACGCCTGCAGCAATGTATCATGTATCAAGAAGAGGTAGAGTACTACCAACTTTGAACTTGCGAAAACGGTCTTACGGTTTTTTAACTAAATACATTTGTGAAGCAACAATTTTGGGAGGGGAATGCTCCTTTTTTTATACAAAAATTGTACGTTTTGGTGCAACAGGTGCCAGGAATTGCCCAGAATGACACAAGCTGTAGGTTGGTCATATTCCGTTGCTGGGCTCCACACGTGTATTTTTTATGAGGAAAAACCCCCTCTGTGGCCTTTGGAGGTAGAGAAACATTGATGGTTTATATCTTTTTTAGAAACCTCGATGATTCTTGGCGACTTGCGACATTATTGAAAAATCAATAAAACCTATTCACCACTACCACTACAGCTACCAAGTTCCGATTCAGCGACTTTTACTTTCATAGAGAATACACGTGCTAGAAAGAGATGGGGAAAGTCGTTACAACTCGCTTCAACGGAAAATGGGACCGCAGACGAACACAGGCGCTCCGAGTCGTTGGAACAATAAATTTTTTAAATCGGCGCCATTGCAGTTAAAATGCAATTCCTTCTCAAAAGAATCCTGAAACGGCAAATACATAAATGACCGAAACTGGTCACAAAACAAACACTGAATAATACACTGGAATACTGAATCGATTTCCGTGTGTGGGCTAATTTTTCGTTGAAGCGAGTTGTAGTGACTTTTTCACGTCTCTAACCATGGAAGTGAGCGATAGGCAAATACGCGGCTAACGTTCTTTGTCGGTTCTGTTTTTCAGCGCGGTACTCAGGAAATACCAGAAAAAATGCCTGATTTAGCGAGTGAATTTCGATGAACGCCGTTAGCCGCGACCCAAACGAATACGAAATTTGAAAAAAAAATTCGTTGAACATTCCATTCATTTTTATTTTGATTTCATTGTGCACCATCAGACTCTTCTTTTTTTAATTGCCCCATTTGTTTTCCGTTTGTCAATAAGCCCAGCTGCTTGTTGATGACCATGCTACATACATTGCCGGTGAACTACAAGAACCAAAAAGAATACGTTTTTTCGACTCGTGAAACTCTTAGCCGATCTGCGTACTAGGCTTTACGGTGGATAAAGTCGCTAAAACGGAATTTGGTCGCTGAAGAGAAACCCCCTCTGTGTGAACGGGGTTTTAGGCTTTTTTGCTAATATATTTTTGGTAGATGGTGGATGGATCTCTAAGGGAAGACGCTATAATCTGAACTCCTTTATTGCTGAAATTTTCTGTTGATCTTTCAACAATCCAGCAGTTAAGGGAATACCCAGAATAAGGCTCCAAAGGAATACCCAAAACAATTAATTTCAGGTTCCCCAAACTTTCACCCTAGGCTGTTTGGACAGGGATGGATTGCCATCCGTGCTTGCGTGTTTGCACACATCGATGTTTTTCGATGTTTTTTAAAAAAAATTCGATGAAACATCGATGGATTCAATAATTGTATTATAAAATATAATTTAAAAAATATTGGTGGAATTTGTATTAAAACTAAAACAAACAATTAATTTATTCAAGTAACATGCTAAGAAATAAAAATAAAAAAATAAAATCAAAAACAAAAACAAAAGTTCAGTCCATTGAGATCATCTTAGATTCTAAAGGGAATACTTTGTAAAGCTATGATAATTCTTGTTAACAAACATAAGTTGGTCAACGATACCGGACTTCAACCGGGTACGGCCATCTGAAATGATTTGGCCCGCCTTGCTAAAGGCTCTTTCTGACTCGCATGACGTGGCTGGAATACATAAAAATTAATAAAACATTATTATTAAGAAAAAAGTAACAAATTACAAACCTTTAGCGTGCTTTTGTCCTTCTTCTTCTTTGAACAGTGAGGGCCCTAGAAACATCGATGGTCCAAAAAAAAAACATCGATGTTTTTAGAAATTTGAAAAACATCGATGCATTGATGTTTCCATCGATGTTTCCATCGATGTTTCTGCACCTCTAATAAAAACCTATGTAATGGAAAAGGATGCATAAATGGCTCTTACGAAGGTCTATAATGCTGCCACAGCCTTTAAGAACTTGGGCGGCGTTCTCAACGTGTACAAACCTGCAGGCATGAAGGTAAAGCACGTGCGCAATGCCATTCTTAACAACATTTGCAAGGGTAACATCAAGAAAAAGAAAACAAATTTCGAAAGTAACTATGCTCTGCTACAGGACTCAACAAAATGGTGCAGCGGGAGCCAGGTAAATTGCGGGAAGGCAGATTCCTGGGCACAGGTACAGCCGCTGATCCTGTACTGCACAATATTGCTTTCCAGACGGATCTGTCAGACCACGTTCTTTCCGCCGGACCTCGATACCTTCCTCGAGACCTGAGCTGCTCCACAGTGTCCAGCCTGGGGGATCACACCAGTGGAGTCCTTCGTAAGTCAAGTTTCGCCCACTATAATCAGTGATAACGATAGTTTTGCAGTTTTCGGGATCAATAGGGGAACGGGTCAGTCTAGCAGCATACGAAAAAGCCGGCCAGTACGGGTCTACCACATAACCGGCCGCCTTGGCAGCGCTACAGAGAACCACTTGCCAGACTCACGAGTCACTATGCGCGCTAACCATCGACACGTGTCAGCGGACAGGATTAGCGGTCTGGCCGCCTCCATACAGGCCTCTCACCAGCGCAAAATGTTTGAGCTCTGTGGCGTTGATTTGCAGACCCAGGAGGCATACGAACTGGCCTGTAAGGGGCTCCTTCGCCCAGCGGACGAAAGCCAACCCGTTGTTTACGGCATAAGGCTTGTCCACTTTGAGCGGCCGCACTTTACGTTGGAACTGCACTCTATCAACGAGACGCAGGAGTACCTGGTCGCCCTAGTGCACGATTTGGCCTTGGAATTACGCACTGCCGCGCATTGCTCCCAGCTGCGCTGCGTGCGGCATGCCCACTTTGATGTTAGGGATAGTCTGCTCAGAAACTCTTGGCACTTGCCAGGCATCATAAAGAACCTGCGCCATCAACGAGACATACTACGGGCGCACAATCAACAGCACCGAGTCGAGCTAAAAGCCATACACTAATGTAAGACTAAGTAATTTTCTGTAAATATTGTTAATGTAAATGTTGTTAAATAAATGCTTCAGATTAAAAAAAAAACATAGAAGATCGCTTTGGTCGAGTACCTCGACTATCAGATACCCGTTTCTCAGGTAAGAAATCTAAATCTGGAATCTCAGCTTTTTAGCTTTTGCAGATCACAGCATTCACATGGACAACGGACATTGCTAGATCGACTCGGCTGGTGATCATGTACATACATACATATATACTTTATGGGGTCGGAGGCGCTTCCTTCTACTTGTTACATACTTTTCCAAGAATACTATATACTCATTTACTCTACTAGTAACGGGTATAAAAACAAATTAGTGGTAGAGAGTTTTGAATTTCATTCCACATTTATTTCTCCAATTTTTACAAATTTTTAACATTATTAGATCAGTTCCAAATGTAAGAAACAACGTATTTGGGCAACAAATTTGGTATTTGGAATTATGTAAAAACTGCTACATTCGCATCCTACGTATGTATGTACATATGACTCCGCACTAGTTTGTTTCCTTTACTTTTTTTACAGTCTGCCGATAGCGCATCCCAAATCAAAGGTGATTTGCAAACCATCAATGAGACAATTTATGTCCTCGTCTCGCCACAAAACCGTTTTAGTTGCTTCAACTATTTTTTTTGGAAAACTTGTCACAACTGGATGTAACCGTTAATAATTAAAATGCCTTAAAAATATTAAAAATACTAAGCAAGAATACGCTTTATAAGAAAAATTAAAACTTTTCTATGTACCATTCAAATTAGCATTGCCTGACTATCAGATACCCGTTACTCTTGGAAGGGGGTGCGAGGGAGATGGAGATAGCAGCAAAGCGACTGTTTCCAAGATTGCACACCACGCCTCCCCATAACTATGGGGAATTTCACAAAAACCGATTTTATAAAAGTCGTTAAAGTAGTTTTGTTAATCTGAATGTATTAGGATAACGTCCATCTAGAATGTGACTAACGGAAAAGTTTAACAGTGCGCACCACTGTTAAGTTATCAGCTGTGAAAGCCTGTTTTTATTTTAACGAGGTGGCAGCGCTTAAAAATGGAAGAAAAACCTCAAAATCGACTGCAGGAGGTCAGTGCAGATGAAATAGGACGCCTAATCCAAGCTGTTACCCATAGTTGTGGGACTTGACCGACAGGAAGCAATACCACAACGGGGGAAAATCCGCAGAATAGTTGAAGTGCTGGTAGAGATCCACTAGAGAATCCCAGTGAGAAGGAACATGCCGAGTGGGACCTCGCTCTCTACATGGACATGTTGCAGGGCGTGTCCTTGCTAAGAAAGTAAGATCTGGCCAAAAGAATTTGGTTGCCGTGTACTAATAGAAGTATCTTTTTAGCAGCATAGAGGCGCCAATTGCTCTGCCGCTCTCTTTCGAAATTTAGGCGATGATAGCTTCAAACTTGGCCTTGAATTGGCTCTTAGCAGAGGTTGGGCAGAGGTTCGGGCAGAGCAATTGGCGCCTCTATATAGATTCTTACTCTATGTTAGCAGAACCACCAGTAATATGATCTCCGACGACCTCTCCGTTAGGACTCCGTACACCACCACCACCAGCTACTTTGCAGCTTAAGCGGAGCTAGAGGACCCGCTGGCTTCTATAAGGAGGAGGAAATTAGGGCGCCCGCTAAGGAACAGCCATACCCTCAAAAAGTGCGCAATTTCTCTAAAATTTGGCTTCTAAGACCTCTAACCTTAAAATGTATAATTCCCGCATTTTTGACTGGTAAAGGTAAGTTTGATGTTATCTTAAAAAAAGAGTATGCATACCTTTGTTATTAAATAACAACTATTTAAAAATTAGTTTACAACTTCATTTCACTTACCTTAGGTTGATATAAATGGTTTAAGTATTTTTGCTAAGAATTATAATGATAATAATAATAAAACTTCGATTTCGCTTAAAAAATGGGGGAAAAATGTTGAAACAAAGAATTTTTTTATTTAATAGACAAAAAAATTAGACTGGACCACCCTCCTTTTTTATTTATACTCCTTTAAATTTTATATACTTAACTAAAAAACAAAACTTCGTTTTTGGATATTAAGTAATGCCTCAAAAAGTGGTCCCCATAGTGCATTGCGCCACAAGCGTAGATTCCTTTATTTGCTTACTAGCAAGGACGCACGCAGCTTCGCCTGCGAATATTTCATAAATAGATCGCTGTAGTGTGTTTTACTTTTGACTTGCTTCTATCTCTGCTACATATTTTTTTTGTGGTTTCCTTAAGAGGCAATGCAAATATTTTAATTAACTCTTTCATTTAATTTCAAAACTACAATTTCTTCAAAACTTTTCTATAAGCCATATTTTTGGATTTTCCCACTAGTGCTAGTTATTATTATATTAATTATACCCGTTACTCGTAGAGTAAAAGGGTATACTAGATTCGTCGGAAAGTATGTAACAGGCAGAAGGAAGCGTTTCCGACCCCATAAAGTATATATATTCTTGATCAGGATCACTAGCCGAGTCGATCTAGCCATGTCCGTCTGTCCGTCTGTCCGTCCGGATGAAATAAAATTTAATAAAAATTAAAAAATTTAACTGAAATGTATTGGTGTCGTCAATACCTATCGATTGATCCAAAAACAAATTTGCCACGCCCACTCTAACGCCCATAACGATTAAATCTGTCTACCGCCGGTAGGTGGCGCATTTTAATCTCGCTTTGCTGCTTGCATATCTCCATTTCCCTTTGAGTAACGGGTATCTGATAGTCGAGGTGCTCGACTATAGCGTTCTTCCTTGTTTTACTTATAATGTAGGGAAGGTGGGCGGGAAAGCCGAGAATCTATTTGCTTAAACATTTCCATGTGTTAAGTCAGTTAAAGAAAATTAAATGAAATATTTTTACTAAAAGAATATCAGTGGGAGAATTATAAAGAACTTGTACTAATGCATATATGTATACGCGCACACGCACACATATCTTGTTTTCAGTATTTTGGCTTTGATTAGACGGGTGTAAGGAAAAGCTGTGAAACTATTTCTTTATACGATTATATTTGTTGAAGCATAGGAATGCAATTTTAATGTGATAATTACAAAATTAGTTTATAATTTAAAAATAGTTTTGCCCTTTGAAAGAAATCTGATTAATCTGTTAAAGAGAGCGGCAGAGCAAATGGTGTCTCTACATAGATCTATGGGTGTCTCTACTTTATGATCTGGATCGCTCTCACTCACTGTTTTGTTTTTGTATTGGAACATCACCACAATTGCTGTCGCCATAGAGCAGTGGTCGGCAGCGGCCTATCTAGTGAGCATAGGGAAGTGTTCTGCCCATCCTCTGCTCGCTCACGTATAACGTACATGTTCGTGTGACTTCGGCATGGGTCTTCGGGTCATTTTTTCTCAACTTCGGCGCGCTTTTTTGTTGCTGCGGCAGAGGATCTCAGTGCAAAGCAGAGAAACGTCTCGCTACAGCACGCCGCGCGCAAACTTCGTGTTTGTTACATTCACACTAATGCAAGGCAAACTTTTGATGGTATGTGTGTGCCGACCACTGCCATAGAGTAAGAGTCTATATAGAGACACCATTTGTTCTGCAGATCTCTTTGGAGACTTTGCCAATGATGTCACCCAGGCGAAAAACAATAATTTCCCTAGTTTTTAAAATGTTTGATGTGACTTTGTAATTTTTTCCCGCGTTGAGTTTTATGGGAAATTATATATCCGCACCACTCTTACTCACTGTTTTGTTTTTGTAATTGAACCTTACTATGTTGACTTATTCGTCCAAGTATTCAATTTTCGAGAATACCAAAAACAATACTAGAAGTGTAACGAACCGCTTCACCTATGGATATATTCTAGGCCAGTTGATGCCTCGAGGTACCAGAGCACGCGACAAAATACTATCCGGCTCTGGCTCTTCGGCTATGGGTGTGATGGTCTTGATGATATCTCGGAATGCCTATTCATAATAATACACAGATATTTGCGTGCATCACCAAACTAAACCCGGGACAGAGAATCACACACATTAAATAACTGCTTGACGTTTTCTACTTCTTCCCATTCCGACTGGTCTGCCCTTCTCGCCTCCTTCGATGTTTGGGAGGTCCTGGTCACGCCAACCCTACCAATGGTCGCTCAGCCCTTAACAGCCAGAGCGACCCCTTTCTTTAAGTGCTACCCTACATTACAAGGCAACGCTAGCTGCGGCCAGTTTTTCGACTTAGCAAAACATTACAAAATTTTATTAAAAGCTAGAAATATAAACCATTACATAAGCTAAACCGTGAAAAGGCATGCAAATAGACAAATAGATAAATATAAACAATAAATATATACATATAGTAAAATGAATTAATAGTCATTTTAAAACATTATTGTTAAATATAAATGATTAGCTGAAGAATGAAAATTTTTCGATAGTTGCTTAAGAATATTTGTTTATCATTTAATAAAATTTGTTTCTATTTTTTTCAATTTAATTTAATTTAAAAATATTTAATATCATTTTAATATAATTTAATAATTTTTACCACTTATATAGAAGGATGCAACGCGCTATACATAATAAGCTTTTAGCTCAACTTGAATTACATTTAATTTTACTCCCTTTTTTTCCCTGAGTTTAGCCATTTTGATTCTTTATTCCTCCCATTCGTTTCTTTTCTTTTAGGTAAAAAGTTTTTTTTTGATATGATTGACTTTTTCTTATGGAACTTTATATATATTTTTGAAAACTCACCACACCTTTATCTATCCAACGATGAAAGCGCTTTGCTCGTTGAAGATGGCTAAAGAAATAGAATAAAGGAAGCACATGTACAGCCATATATATATTTTTAAAGGCAGGGGAAATTCAAACAGCTATTATGTACAGCCCGTGAGACACTTTTGATGGTCTTAGTTTTAATCTGGGATGTAACTCGAAATAAATCCCCCCCAAAAATAAACTTAACTTTTCCTTTTCTCCTCTTCTTGGCGAACAAAAACTTATTTCGTAATCTTAAACAGAACTCTAACAGTAAATTTTCCGCTTCTCTCTCGCTCCCAGATCGGGATTTGGCTGGAACAGCCAGGATTTCCGGCTCGACTAGATAACTTTAAACTTCAAAAAAAAAAATTTTAAAACGCAGACCGAGGCGGGCGACATCATATGGGCTCTCAGAGACAAGCAAAACAAACAAATCTGCTCGATCGAACGTGGGTCTTTTCGATTGAAATGAATGGTTCGATGGTAGGTCGTCGCCTGATTCTTCGTGCTGGATTAGTCGAATATACTTTTGGGCCGGGGCATAGGTTATAGAAAACAAAAGGTCTTATGTGACCAAAAAAAATGGGGCATATAATTACGCCCTTTTAGTGCGCTGCTGCTTCAATTCGACGAAACGCTTGCGTTGAAATTGGCTCGCTCCCAAGATGTTCGATGCGTGGATTGCGCATGCGCCCGTTCGATTTGTTTAGATTTGCCCTCTCTCTTCCTTGGGGCCTTCGAACACCACCCAGTTGCTGCCTAGAAAATCCGAATCTGCCTATGCACTCGCTTTTCTTTCGTTTACCCTTTAGTTACTGCTGGCCAATTAGAATTAATATCCCTTCCTTTTGGCATTGTATATATGGACACTCGCGTGTATTTTCGAGTCGGTATCACTGTGTTATTTATGACCTTACTCTGCAGCCGCCAAAAACGGAAAGATCGACGACAACGCCGGAAAGTGGCGGTAACCCCATGTCGAAGACAGGGTGAAAGCGGAGACGGGAGACACTTGCAACTGTCGCTCTCTCGCGGCTATCATATCCATCTCAGTTCTAGTGGCAACTCAATACCCCCTCTCCGACTGACCAACAGAAGGCGATACAAATGTATCTTTTCCTCGAGCAAGCGCTACAAGCCCATCAAGATCAGATTAGGGGTAAACATTCCAAGACTGAGAACACCACAGCTTGCGAGGCTACTGTTTGATATCTGTTCGTACCCAAAGGTGCTCAACATGACCACACCCAACAAATCAAGCAATAGCCAAGTTGGGAACAGTACCAGGCCCTCAGTA